CACTGAAACAATTAAAATATTTAACTAAAATATAAACAATTAAACTAAAACAATTTAATTAAAACACTATTTAACTAATATAATTTAACTTTTTCACAAACAATTGAACTATTTATCTAAAATATAAACAGTTAAATCAAAAACAATTTAATTAAACAGTTTTTGACTAAACAATTTACTGTTTTCATTACAACAATTTAACTATTTAACTGAAACTATTTAACTTTTCAACTATACTACTACTATACTAATTTAGCTGATTCACGATGTCTTAAATGGCCGATGCAAACATCACGTCATCCATTTCTGGAGTCTGCAAAGGAAATAAACATTTGGATCAGATCAGAACTGGAATTACGGCTAACAAGTATGCAATTGCATGCAGCTAAAGTTTATGAACATATTTTATAATTTTTATTCTTAAATATATAATATGTGAACTAAAAACAATTTAACTAAAGACACTGTAACTATTTAAATAAAACAACGTAAGTACTTAACTAAAGGAATTTAAGTATTTAACTAATTTAACTAAACCTATCTAACCTTTTAATTTCAAACTACGTAACTAAATGGGCAGATTCGTGATTCTTCAGTGAAGGACGGAAATTCAATGTTGTCCATCCCTGGGATCTGGAAAAGAAATAAACATTGGATCAGAACAGGAACTGGAATTATGAGTAACAAGTATGGAAACACATGCAGCGCAAGTTTATGAACATATTTTATAATTTTTATTCTTAAATATATAATATGTGAACTAAAAACAATTTAACTAATACAATTTAACTTTTTCACAAACAATTGAACTATTTATCTAAAATATAAACAGTTAAATCAAAAACAATTTAATTAAACAGTTTTTGACTAAACAATTTACTGTTTTCATTACAACAATTTAACTATTTAACTGAAACTATTTAACTTTTCAACTATACTACTACTATACTAATTTAGCTGATTCACGATGTCTTAAATGGCCGATGCAAACATCACGTCATCCATTTCTGGAGTCTGCAAAGGAAATAAACATTTGGATCAGATCAGAACTGGAATTACGGCTAACAAGTATGCAATTGCATGCAGCTAAAGTTTATGAACATATTTTATAATTTTTATTCTTAAATATATAATATGTGAACTAAAAACAATTTAACTAAAGACACTGTAACTATTTAAATAAAACAACGTAAGTACTTAACTAAAGGAATTTAAGTATTTAGCTAATTTAACTAAACCTATCTAACCTTTTAATTTCAAACTACGTAACTAAATGGGCAGATTCGTGATTCTTCACTGAAGGACAGAAATTCAATGTTGTCCATCCCTGGGATCTGGAAAAGAAATAAACATTGGATCAGAACAGGAACTGGAATTATGAGTAACAAGTATGGAAACACATGCAGCGCAAGTTTATGAACATATTTTATAATTTTTATTCTTAAATATATAATATGTGAACTAAAAACAATTTAACTTTTTCACAAACAATTGAACTATTTATCTAAAATATAAACAGTTAAATCAAAAACAATTTAATTAAACAGTTTTTGACTAAACAATTTAACGTTTTCATTACAACAATTTAACTATTTAACTTTTCAACTAAAAATGCCCTAATTATACTAATTTAGCTGATTCACGATGTCTTAAATGGCCGATGCAAACATCACGTCGTCCATTTCTGGAGTCTGCAAAGGAAATAAACATTTGGATCAGATCAGAACTGGAATTACGGCTAACAAGTATGCAATTGCATGCAGCGAAAGTTTATGAACATATTTTATAATTTTTATTCTTATATATATAATATGTGAACGAAAAGCAATTTAACTAATACATTATTTAACTTATGTTCTAACAACAATTTAAGTATTTAAGTGAAAACAATTTAACTATTTAAGTACTTCACTATTCTCAAATGGTATTGTGATGACTTCTTCGATGACAGACGCGAGTTGAACATCGTCCATTTCTTGGTCTTGGGTGCGGCTATTCGATGTCTCCGTCATGTGTCTAATGTGGTATAAGTACGGGCGCAACATATGTGCATACCTGCAAAATGAATTACAGAGATATATATAAGTAAATTCAGTTGTAGTGGAACTTGTTTATTATAGTGTTCATAAGGTACAAACGTTAGGTTATGTTGAAACCTGTTTATAAAGCTGTATCTTAATTGTAGACTCTCTTTATTGCATTTCATTCTTTTACCACTAATGAATTTTTATGCCCATAAGCCATCTCATGTCATCCACCACTCGCGTATTAGCATAGGACTCGGGACAGCCATAGAACTTTTAATTACTAAAACACCTTAATGGAAACATGGCCTTCAGCTTCCAGGACATTTTCCAAATGTAACAGAATCACCAAGTGTAAACACCGTTGCTATGTGGCACATCACACAGTACTCTTACTTACCTCGTAATTGTCTTCACTCTGGTTGAAGATACTGTCTCTTGTCTGACTGGACGTAATAGAGCCGACTGGTCGTCGTGGTGGAGGGCGTGGCATCTGGTATTTCTTTGCCATCACGTCACTCCACTTGAGTCCCTGTAGGATGAAGCACAAACGTCAGTGACATGGACCAGACTGTTGATTGCAGAGTTAAAGTATGGGGAGGTAGAAGGGAGAATGCTTCGACGTAAAAGACCCTTCAATCACGGAGGAAGTACAAGGAATTGAATTGCAATCTTCTGCTTGGATATAAACTTTGGACTGCAGTTACAAGGAACTTTGGGGACATCCGATCTTGCCTTCAAGGATCAAAGAAAATTGTTGTGTACTGAGAGACACCTTTGAAATTCTGCTCTGGCAATATATTATGCGTCACCTTTCTAAACCTTTTACTGCGGTCTTACTGCTTATGTACTGACGGTGTTAGGCCCATCACATAAGTTATTTTTATTTGTCTGGGAATGTAAATTATGCTGAACTTTCCAAACAGCGAAATTGTCCAGAATAGTGTCAGAAGCCATGAACTGCACAGAAGTTCCCTCTGGTTGATTTTCTTAGTACATTACATGGACAAAGCATAGTTCAGAACTGAAATATGTGTATATTCTGTATTATTTATTATACCATGTCAGACATGGGATAAGAACTCACGTCAAAGAATGGATGCCACTTGATGTCCAGTGCGCCAAGTCTGCAATGTGGTTTCTTGTCCAGGAGGTTCCAGACAAGGTCTGCCACATCTGGCGACAACCATGTGGGAATGTCTATGGTGTCACATACGATTTTACTGTAAAAGACAGGCCCATTGTATTTACCATTTAAACATTCTTATTAAACATGCATTGAGAATTAGTATTTCTAATGCCTGTGACGGTTCCAGTAAACTGCTTAGTTATGTGTAATTTGCATGGAGAACTCTGATGCAGGTCATACAAGAGTCAAGGAAAATTGTACTTGTCAAAATATGTTAGTTCTTAGCTTTTGCAATACTTTAGTTTACAGACCCCTTACATTTTATCGATGTCCTGCACAAATTTGCTTTCGTAATGTTTGTGCTTGCATTTTGTTTCCTTGCCTAAGGCTAATTATGCATATGATTAAAATGTGCACCTGCTTTCCTGGCATTGAAATAGACAGTAATGTGTTGGCCGCAAAGGTATCTGCATGTAACTGTTGATACGAGACTGATGTTCACAGGGAACACGTTCGTTGGGTCATCGATACTTACGTGTAGAGTGTTTGCAAATCTCTTTTGTTGGCATCAAATTCAAAGGGCCTGTGGCCTGCCAACATCTCATATGTGACGACTCCCACGCTCCACCAGTCGACTTCCTGCAACAGTTCAAATTGCACTCATTTTCACTTCATCACACGGTCAAACATTTTCATTAGGGTCTCCAGAATCAAGAAAAAAATTGTGGAAGGATCTGCGTTGTTCATTTCTTGCCTCCAGTTTTATATTGAACTTTCCCGTGTATGACTTGTACTCATTCTTCATTTATCTGTTTAATATAGGAAGAGGTTTGATTCCTATTGACATGGAGACTGCTGACGTTTCTTACATTTTCCGATGAATGTGCAATGAGAAACATGGAAATCATTTGGTTAAGCATTGTTTAAATTATCATTATATGTTAAGCAATTCTCAAAATATCGCCCGTGGACAGACTTGGTTAAGCTAACAGGAGCATTTTCATAGAGTTTGGTTGTGGAAGTGCATAAGATTATTTTACATTTCCTTCATAGCTATCAAATTGTTGTGAGTTCGCCAAATTTGGTAGAATGCTTCTATGTCTCGTGCTGTATACTGATTACTTTGATTATGCATGTGTCATTGCGAGCTCCATGAAGATTCCAATTGTGGCTCCAAATCCTCAGAATTGCCTTGCCTTAATAGTTTACATTAAACTTACAATGAGCTCATTATTCTTGCACTATCAGGGTATGAGATACTCACAAAGCTGTATCCATTGCCTTGCAGCATTTCTGGGGCCATGTAGTAGGCTGTCCCACACACGGATTCTGCATGTTTCTCCTGATGAAGGAAAAAGCATTTTAAATAACCGTAAAAGAGATATCAGACAGGAAGCAACTAGAAATTAACTGTTTGGTAACTGGAACAAAGCTCTGAGAATTCACTACTTGGCGTTAAAATCAGTCAATTCCATCATCTGCTGCCCTCACAACCTATTTCTCTAAGATCCCTCTTAACACTGTATTCCCATCTGCTCCCCTCTTTTCCAAGTTAGCAACGTGCAGGAGTTTCTCCAATCTATATTTTGCGGCATTTCCTCTCTCCCTAGATGTCCAGCCCATTGTAAGTTAACTCCACAAGCTCCCTATCATAACAATACTTGGTAAACT